AAATCGTCGAGTAACTTTGGAGGAGGTAGCAAACAAGTAAGGCATCGATACACAAGATTTTACACGAACAACTAGGCATGAGCAAGCTAAGTGCAAGGTTGGTGCCTAGACAGTTGTCCGCAAATCAAAAGGCAACCAGAGTAACCAATGCAAATGAACATTTAAGTCGTGAAGGAGATTAGTTTTTGAACCACATTATCACTGGAAATGTGATGTGGGTTCATTATTCAGAACCTGAGACAATAGCTCAGTCAAAGCAGTGGAAACGAGCTGGTTCCGTACCTCATAAAAAGTATAAGCTGTCTCCTTCGGCTGGCAAAGTCATACCTGTTACCTTTTGGGATTCACGAGGAATGATACTTACTTATTTCATGCCAAAAGGCCAAACTGTCAACGCCAAGTACTATTCTGAAGTAATTCTGTAAAATCTCAGAGAAAAACTGAAGCAAATGCGTCCCAGGTTAGCACAGAAAAGTGTCCTCTTTCTTCATGATAACGCCCCTCCCATATCGTCGCAGCTACAGTATAGGGTATCAACTCTAACAAATGGCAATTGTTGTCTAGCCCTCCTTTTAGCCCAGACCTCGCCCCCTGTGACATTTATTTGCTTCCAAAACTGAAAAAAAAATTGCTTGCTGGAAAGAAATGTAAGACCAGGCGGCTTTTATATCTGTTGTTACACAGTACCTAAAACATAGGTCTACGTCATGGTTCACAGAGGGAATACAAAAGCACCCTAGAAGATGGTTAAAGTGCGTAGACGTAGGTGGAGAATATTTTGAAAAAGAGTAGAAAGAATTTTTTTTTTTTGAATGTTGACTGGTTTTCGAGAACGAGTCAAAAGTCCGGATATTTTCTGACTTCCCATCTTATATACATGTTTTCATCCTTTAAAGTACTTTTTTGTACATTTTCAGGTATGTATATTTTTCGTTCAAACAATGGTGGCTTTGGGATCATATTTTTTCAGTTAACCCTTCTTTTTCAAAGATAAAGTTAAGTTTTCTTTTAATTTCAAAATAACTTACGTTTCGCGTATCACGTTTTGTTAGAGGGGGTTCGGGGTTGATACTCGGGGTTGGCTGGCTTTGAGACAGTCGGCTGGGTGTGTCACTCGCTGAAGCCCGTCTGAGTCTAAAACCTGTATAGGTTGGACCTATTTCGCGCCACCCCTAGAATTCGGACTTTACCCACCCGGATTCTTAGGGTTGCGCGATCTGCGGGTTACTTGTCTTGTGATTATTTCGAACTATCCTTTTTACTTTCTTTCTATTTTAAAGAATATCTAAATTGTTCTCTAGTTTTATAAAATCGTGATAAAGATTCATTCTAAAATATATAAATACAGAGCAAATACAAGCTTAATCTTTTATCTTTTATTACTTACATATATTGTTAACCCGGTTTCTCTCTGTTGTTTCCATAAAATACACAGTCTGATAAAATGGACATAACATAATAATAGAAACATTATAAATAACAAGTTTAAATAATCCCATATTTTGGTTTCATTTTGTTTTGTTTAATGTTTAAGGTCTTTCATGAATGTTTGAGATTTGTTTTACCCCAGTATATAATATTTTGTTTGTTAAGGTACCCTATCCATGTTTGATGACTCGCTTCTCATGGGATTGCGAATACTTATCATGTATGTAAAGACAATCATTTGTATATATTTGTTAAGTTTCACCTTTAAAAAACCGGGTCCTACTTCTTTACAGTAGGATTTTTATCTGAAAATATCATGAATAAATTTATGCAAAAACAAAAAAATAAAATTTTTTAAGTCTTCCCTTTTTCAAGGGCGGCAACACTCTGCCCTTTCGCATTAGAGAAGGGGAATCCTGTCATGCGTGTATGTGGTCGCACGGTCACTTTCTTTACAACATGCCCTCGATGCATGTATATGGTTGCATGGTCGAAGGTCTATAATTTAAAATAAAAAAGAATAAAAAGTATAAATATTATTTAAAAAAACTGAATATCTTGTAATAACGAGTTTTAAAGGCCTAACCATGGCTTTCTTACTTCTGTTTTGGAAGTTGAAAGCTTTAAAAACACGTTTCCCCTTTTAATTAGGACTAAAAAAAGCGAAAATTATGACTTTTATACTCTCATTTACAACTTAGTAGGATGATTTACTCAAATTTGGATTAGGAGAAATAAACCTATTTACGACTAAAGCAGTTTTTAAAGCTTACAGGGGACCAAAAAACAACAACTTATTTAGGTCTTTGTAGCTTCTAATTAGGTTTTTCTTAAAAGAGAAAATTAGATTTTTTTTAACGAATTTTATTTTCCCTGTCAGTTTTAACTTCTTATCATGGCATGCAAAGTCCTTATTAGTTTTTTGACATTAAAACGTCATACAAACACAGTAAGGTCAAAAATGACTTTTTAGCTTTAATGTTACAAGAACACTGTTGGTGCCCTTCCGTGTACAAACGGGAATCTGAGCAGAACCACTGACCTTCCGCAAGCTAGCTGGAAAGCTTCATTACATGACCACAAACATGTCACCTCTGTGTCACCGTATGTTTCTATCGCAACGGTAATTCTCTTATCTTTTGTAGAATCTGACAAAAATGCGTATTTAAACATAAGGGGCAGTTATCAAGTCCTGTAATGTCGACACATAATGTAGCAATTGTCTCCCTTAATCTTTTTGATGATGAGAAAATGTAAATGGTCTATGACCGCATTGTAATTTATAAGACTCTGATCGCACTGAATAAATTGCACTTTTCGAAAATTAATGTTAAAGGTGTTTTTTCTTTACTTTTTTCAGTCTCTAACGATTGAAAATATTTTATTAAGAAGGCTGCATTGTAAATAAGGTGTAACGCATCTGTATATGTATTTATCTGTTACAATCTGTATTACTTATTAATAATTATTATTATTTTAAATATTAGTATCAATCAATCTTTCCTTTCGTACGCCAGTTCGAAGTGTACTTCATTTCAACTGGAAACTTTATAGGTAAATATTTCTGACTGGGGAGGAGTACAGTGCGCAAGAATAAGAACTCTTATAACTTTCATAATTTAGTTATTGCCCTTGGTTATTTTTTCATGCTTAAATATTTTGTTATCTTTCATGCCTAATTTTTGTTCGGAGAGTAATTCAAAACGCTTTTAAGATATAACCAATTTACCACGAAACTTCATATTTGAATAGATCTCACAAAGGAGCAATGCAATTCACATTAATGATAACTCTTATCAATTATGTTTTAGTTATTGCCCTTTAGTATTTTTTTTAAATTCTCGTCCGGAGCATATCCGAAAAGTATTTGAGATGTCAGTCACATGACCAATAAGGGTCACTAGGGCAATCTTCCAGTTAAAATAGTCGACGAAGACCTGTGTGTCCCTTCAGGAATCATTTCAGGTCCGAGGACGCACTTTAAAAAGAACCACTGGCCTCCCGTATACAAATTTAATGACTTCAAAGTTATGTATTTTCGTTGCGTAACTGCAAAAGACGCTGTTTCTGTATTGCCTCTTCTGAAGACATGTGTTTTGACAAATTGAATGTAAATGAGCCAAAAAAAAAAACAAAAAAAAAACCCAACTATAAATTCGGTGAAAAGACTGTCATCATTAAATTTTTTTCAAATCATTAGGTCTGAAAATGTGTTTATTTTTCAATTTTTAAAAAGGCCGCAATATAAAACTCGTCATAGATTTATTTATTCTATTTTTGTTTATGCTTTATATCAGTTTTAAATAAAACAGTTCAACAACATTCAATGAAAGTGTTAGACGTGTCCGTCAAACGACTTTCCCCTCATCGTTTTGGGTCCGAGTCACCAATAATGCACGGATGGGCAGCTGAGGTCAGTTTTGTATCTAGAGCAGTGTCACTTTCACTATCTGGCGCAGTCTCGAATTTAAGCGCAGTGTCTGTTGTTTTGTTTGTTTGTTCAACAGTTGGTTACTAATCCGAACCAGCGACCACTAGATTACTAATCCGAACCAGCGACCACTAGATTACTGATTTGAACCAGCGACCAATGGATTACTTTTCCAAACCAGCAACCAGTGGACTACTAATCTGAACTAGTGGTCAGTGGATAACTAATTTGAACCAGCGACCACTGGATCACTAGTCAGGATTACTAATCCGTACAAGCGATCACTGGATAACTTATCCGAATCAACGACCACTGAATACTTAATCCGAACCAGAGACCACTGGATAACTAATCCGAACCAGAGACCACTGGATAACTAATCCGAACCAGAGACCACTGGATAACAAATACGAGCCAGAGTCCACTGGATTACTAGTCCGCCCCAGCGACCACTGGATTACTAATCCGAACAAGCGACCAGTGGATTGCTTATCCGAACCAGCGACCACTGGATTACTAATCCGAATCAGCGACCACTGGATAACTAATCCGAATCAGCGACCACTCTATTATTTATCCGGACCAGCGACCACTGGATAACTAATCTGAACCAGCGACCACTGGATTACTATTACTAATTCCAACCAGCGACCATCGGATTGGTGACCCGACCTTGCAACCACTGGATTACTTATTCGAACCAGCGACCACTGAATTACTTAGCCGCTGCTGTCCCTTTCGAGCTGATTGGACGGACACTCGGTATTGCTAGTAGACAGAACAATATAGCATGATATCCTTAACTCCATAGGAGTCAACAAGCGACGTATCCAGTGCAAATTTAATACTTTACAACAGATATGAAAGATTTTTGTAAAAATCCACTAAAATATCGAACTCAAACAATCGTAAAGCTAAAACTATAATTTTGCTAAGCTGGTTATCAAGTGCTTAATTTTATTAAACAGAACTCTGGTTGACATTTTTAAAATGTCACACAACTTCAAATCACAAAGTTTGTGTTAGTATTGCGCTTTATAAATGAATTGAAATATATGCGCAGCAACAAAAATATCGACAATAAGTAAATCCATCATCTAATCGAAATATGTTAAGAATTAAAACAGTTTTCTTGATAAGAAAGAAACTCTCTGCACTTATGTATCCTTCAAAACTTTTAATATACTCTACAACAGACGAAACAGTTCCAAAATCGTTCACGTACATCGTAAAGAACATCTTTGCAGCTTTGTCTAAATTTTGAATCTGATATCCCGTAAATGAACGGATTTATTGCACAGTTCAGTAAATATGACCTCAGGAAAAACTTACACACGGCTCTCCAACCGTCAGACATGGACTCGTCAAAGTCCATCATCAAACTTCTGGCCAGAAGCAAGGACAGAAATGGGAGATAACTCAACACAAACGCAAGCGAAATAAGAAACATACTATACGTGGCTTTACGCGCACGCGCTCTTCTGATTTTCTTCGATTTTGTCTTTTGAGCCCTTGTCATAGGCTTTTTAAGAATTTCAGTATCCCGCGTGTCGTCTTCAGACAAACTTGTCATTGACTGTTCCTCGGTATCAGTCGGAATATCTTGGCTTTGTTCCTGTGTCGGATTCTTCGGCAGAACGATTCTTTGCTGCTCGCCGAATTTCACTGATTTCTTTTTAAGCGCGTTTTCGCCAAACCGAACGCTTTTCGTCGTGAATATTGACGTCGACGTAATCGGACGTATGTGGTCGGTTTTTCTAGCCATTGATGCAGTTAGGCTCACGTGGCGCTTGATTCTTTCCTTCTCAGTATGTTGCTTTATTTCTCCGCCAATGAAACAGTACAAAATACAGATTGTAAGCAGGGCGCACGTGAACATAACCATTCCAAATGCAACATAGATAAACGCTAAATTAGATTCTCCTAAACTTTTGCGGAAGGAGCATTCGCTGACGTTCACTTTTAGACTTGTTAGTTCAAACTCATAAATGTCATACACTGAGAACACCGGGAGAGAAATAAAGAACGCCGCAATAACGGCTATAATACACAGCAGTCTGGCTTTGTTGAAATGAATTTGCCAACCCAACGGTTTGCAAACTTTACGGTAGCGGTCAACGGAAACAATAACTAAAGTAAATCCTAAGGACAGAAGGGCCCAAAGGTTAAAAAACACCGAAAACTTGCACCAGTTTTTGTTTGTAAAGTTATACTGTTGAAAAGTTGTCACAATTTCACTAGGCACTATAACGATACAAAGTAAAAGGTCCACAGACGCCAAGAAAAATATAAACCATCTCGAGCTGGACATGTCGTATTTTGAGCGATATATGTAACAAACCAGTCCATTTCCTGGAATTCCGAGAATCGATATCAACAGCATGTATATCAACAATGGAACCAGTCTGATCACTTCCGCCCAGTTGGCTTCTTCGAGTAAAACATCCCCTTCCTGTGAATTTCTGTCATGAAAATCCGACAAATTCAACGACTCATTCACCATAGTGAATATTTAATTTAACCTTTTACACAAATGTGATTCTAAATTGTAGACAGACCGGTCAATGTTCACGGAACAGGAAGAGGAAATCCGAATTTAAATTAGAAAAACCAGTCAATGGTATTGTAAATTATTGTAAATATCCTAAATAAAATTCAGTAGCTTTTGCTCATTGTTTTTTTTTATATAGATATAAACAGACTAGGAGTTAGCCTTTCTCTGTACTCTAAAGACTGTATGACTGATGGTTTGTAATGTAATCCTTTTTTGTGATTTCTTAAGTGCAAACACTCAACACCAACACTTGTCAACGAGGGAAAATCTTGCCATTATACTGATTAACAAAGGATAAAATTACTACATAAATTTACATTGTACTTAATCATTGTTTTTTTATATAAATATAAAGAAGTACAGGATAAAGGTTGCGCTAAATATTTTTTTTTCTTTTTCTTAAAGAAGATAGAAATTAATACTGAGGTATTTAGTAAGCGTTTATCTTTTGATAGTGCAACCATTGCTTAAATCCAGGACATTGGTGGATACCTTATCTACATTTTGTTTGCATATGTTATCAATATGAAAACTAACAAAAATAAGAAAATAATATAAAATAAATAAATAAATGAATAGATAAATAAATAAATAAATAAATAAATGAATAAATGAATAAATAAATAAATAAATAAAAGAAACCCACGCGACTGATGGGTATTGCAATTTTATACCATATGAAATTAGGAAATCGTAGTTTGGAGATCATTGATAAATGTAGAACCTTGTATGGGATGAAAGTTGTAGCTAAATATACAATGATAACTCACTATCGATAGTTTGATATGACACCTGCATAACTTTGAAGTGCCGACTAACAATAGAACAGTATACGAAAAAAACACCAGTAACAATTAATGAAGTCGCGGCGAAATGTCGCACTTCGGCATTTAAAAGACGAACTAGGCGGCTTCTGTTGTACTGATTGTAACTCGTCCTTAACTTTTCGCTCAGCCTGTATATTACTAATACATAGATACATATATATAAGGAAAAAACCAATTCAATGTTAGAGTATAGCGACTTCCGGATTTATTAATACAGGGACACTTGATTAACTCTTAATATGGTATTAATTGTTTATTTTGTTATCATGATGACCTAAGTGTCCATTATTTTAAGCGGAAGGCCTTGCGTATTATCAGGTCAATTCGTATAAACGAGCAAAGTGCACGAAATTCTCGTGCTTGATTTCAGGGGGCTACTACATTTTACAGCAAAACGTCCCACATGCCAAAACAGGTTGGTTTTATTTTTCCCCCGTTGTTTTCTTTCTTTATTAAAGGCCAAGATATGATTTTAGTTTTAATTCTTAAAGCTTTTTTATTTTCTGTGTTTCAAAAAGCTGCTCATTGAACAATTACCTTAACCATCTATTTTTCTTTTGATGCTTTTTGGCAATAATTAGTACAATTATATTGAATTTGTATTTTATATAGAAGTCAAAATACTACTTTGTTTATATATATATTTTACTATTGTGACAAATTATTTCTCATTAAAAAATCTATACATTATTGCTAATAGCTGGTGTTAGTTATATTAATATAGTACGTGTTCTTAATTATGCTTAAAGGCCCATAATGCCTCGGAATTGCTTTCATTTTTATTTTTCTTTCTTTTTTTTCTCTTTTTTTTGTAATTTGATTCAGTTTCAAAAAAATATATACTCATTTGCCACATAGAACATGAACTAACTTTTGCTTCTTTTCCTCTGTTTACGATTGGTATAACTATACTGAATTGGTATTTTGTATGGAAGTAAAAATACTACTGTGTTTACATGTTGCTACCTTAACGACACGTTACTGCTTAAATTTGTTTAAACCGTTTATTTGTTTCCTTTTAGAAAAAGTAAAAAGTCGAGAGTTATCTTTAAAGGACACCATTATATTAAGTCACTAAGATTGTAATCGCAATGGACTTATATTTCCACAAAAATACACACAGTTTTTAAAACAGAATAGGAGGCACAGCTTTTCGCTCATTTATTCCACCCTAGGTTTGTGGAATCTTTTTGCAAAACAATTACATCTGATGAGTTTCAAAATAAACGAAGGGAGAAAAAAATCTCGATATAACCTAACAGAGCGAAAAATAACTCCACGAACTAGAATAAATAGTGGAACAGGGCAACAAGTCGGCTTATAAAACAATTATAAATTGAGATCTCATGTCCAAAAATGTTACATTTCAAATTTTCGCAGTTTATTTTTCAATTGTACTTTTAACATATTTAAAACAACGCAACATACTTGCATGTATTCATGATTTCCACTTTGCTCTTTGAACTAGCTGTCTAAATGTATATGAGCCACGTCACGTCAAAACCAACATAATGGGTTTGCGACCAGCATGGATCCAGACCAGCCTGCGCATCCGCGCAGTCTGATCAGGATCCATGCTGTTCGCTTACAAACTCTATAACAAGTAGAGAAACTGATAGCGAACAGCATGGATCCTGATCAGACTGCGCGGATGCGCAGGCTGGTCTGGAGCCATGCTGGTCGCAAACCCATTATGTTGGTTTTGTCGTGACGCGGCTCATATAATAATAAGCCGTACTCTTAAAATGATTGGCAGATATTAAGTGAAGGTCATTCAATGTCAAGATAAATGAATTGTGTAATTACAATAAGGAAAGAAATTGTATGTGTACTGAAACTGCTAACTCAAGATTTAAAAAATTAAAAGTTTAAAACACTAGTAAGCGTACAAATTACAGTCTTTTGTTCGTATTATTAAGGAAGACGGATCGTTATAAGATCGAAAAATAACTTTTAAGTGTCTCATTAACCAGAGACACTCGGGGGCCAGATCCTGGTGCCACCTTGTGAGGCTCTTGACAGTTCTCAGTAACTTATATGACTGTAACACAAAGTCGGCATCTAGAATCACACAGTATGTGATAAAGATAGTTGTCCCGCACGAGAATTGACTAGCGCGAAGCAATGTGGGTTCTGCGTCCATCACACGAGTGTATAGGTTATTAACGTCAATAAAGCATCAATTTTCAATGTAAAATAATTTCAATATAATCCGTAAAACGACTTTATAAAGTTAACGCATTTAAAATCAATATCGTATACTCTGATACAGAATGTGACAGACTGCGCTTGCACTTTTGGCGCCAAAAAACTTTACCGAAGAATGACGGGAAAAGCCGAACAGTTACGATTGTGTTTATAAGAAGTCACTATTTCAATTCCTGTTGTAAACTCAAACCATTTAGTTCTCAGCAAGTGTACATTCCATTTCAACGTATACCAAAGCAGTTCTGAATAACAGATATTCCATATATAAATGGCTCGTAAGATGTCGGTCAACTCCGCCACTTCTCGTAATCGGCACACTTTGGCTATGGAAAATATGTCTGACAATCATAATCAATTTAAAAATGCCCACTGATGTAGAAAAATAAACAATTCCGAATAAATGTCAACCGATAGACATTAGTACTTTCGAATAATTAAATAATGTACTGTTTACTTTTATATCGAACGCTTTGTTGTTGTTTTTTTTTAATTAGGCAAGCTTTTCTTCGATATATTGTAGTAAACTTAATCAGCAACAGTTTTCTTCCAGCATTAAATTTCTATTTCTTTACATGTTTTCGTAGCGTAGATTTGACTGAAATATCGTATCCGTTGCACAGGGGTTTGGCATATTGGGGTGATAGTATACAAAACTAAAAACTAATAAAAAATAGACTTTTTAGATTATATGTTGATAACTTGAATCGTTTAATGACATAAATCCAATTTTACGTAGGAGTACATATACGAGTGCAATGATATGCTGCAATTTCCAAACCTTCACGCCAACCGAGATTTATTTTTATTGCATTATTGTATAAACTTTTGTTTGAGCTGAAAGTACAGAACTGAAAGTACAGGGAACTACTTGAATATATACATTTTTTTTTATTTCAATGTTTTGACACCGCCCATAAGGAAAAAGAACAGAATGTAGAAAAAAACAGGACAATTATTATGTAGAGGAAAAATGATACAGACATCTAGGAGCAGGACGTCTGGGGTTATGTTTTTGTTGTTGTTGTTTGTTGGGGGGTTTTTAAAACTTTTTTTGTTCTTTTTTTCTTACCTTTGCGTCCGGTTATCAAGGTTATATATGATATAGATCTTAATAAATACAGGCATTTCTTGTTACAAATTGTTAAATCGCTCATATCTGTAAACTGTTGTTTTTTTTTTTTTTTTTTTAAATAATAAAGTCTTGTCGGAAATTTTAACATGAAATGAAACATTATCTGGTTATAAATAAAAATATTTCTCAAAAATAAATTCTTACAGACTCGTATTTTGAAAAACCAGCCATTGGCACGGCAAGCGGCAACTAATTGGTTTCTTGTAAAAAAAACATGACCTATATCAAAAATGCTTACAAATGGTTATAAAGAAATCAGAATGGTCAGAATTGCATCTGAAGGAATGATATCCATATCCAAGGCAAGGGGAAAAGTCGAATTAACTTTTTTATTTCAAACTACATGTAATAATCGTTACATGTGTTTTACAAGTATGTGCTACACGGATATAGAACAGCTGTTAATTGAGATTATCCTTCTAAAAATAGTAACAGTTTATATAAACTTTTAAATATATTTCATATGCAGACATTTTTTTAGAAAACACGTTTTCTTTCATTCTAATCCGGTTTTTATAAGAATATTTAAACTGCTTTGTGTATATTACAAATCGTAACATGTGTATATATATTCTGAGAAATAAAATATGTTAAAACTAAACTAAAAACGAAACTAGTGTTTTATTTCATTTTGTTGGGGTGCCTCTGTCAAGGGAGATAAATGATGGCTTCAACATTCTAGAATGTTAATTGAGTTACTCCCCTTGGCATAATAGAATATCATAACAGGAAATATATAGAGGATATTGAATGACTGTAGTTTAATACTAAATTTATTGAACGAGTTGAATAAAATCATATTATGCGAGCCTCTGGCGAGCATAATATTCTTTTATTCAACGAGTTCAATAAATTTAGTATTTAATCTACACGAATATATAATATTCTATTTATCACATATATAAAATAAGAACAGTAAAATGTTAAAATGAGTAATTTTTCAGTGACGCGCCTATAGTGTAACGCTAACATAAGCGCGCTTTAACACTATGTTTCTATACAGCGCAAATGACGTCACGTCAAAGTGTTATTACATTAGTGTAATATCGTTTTTATTAAATGGCTTTATTACACTCCTGCGCCGCGGTTTATGTGATAAGACCATTTATTATTAAAAGTGATTCTGAAGAAGAAAAGAGATACTATGTCGTGGTCACGAAATACTATATGTCGTGGCCACGAGTTACAAAGTCATTGCCACGAGAAAATTAAGTCGACGTGGGAACGAGATACTATGTCGTGGCCATGAATTACTAAGTCGTGGAAACGAGTGGTAACCACGAAATAGTTAAGTCGTGTGCATGAGATAAATAACCAATCAGATTACACTATTTATATGAATTTTCCTAATTAACTAGACATGTGTACAAGAATGCCCCTACTTCACCTGCCTGTAAAAGTGACATTTATACAAGTTATTGATTGGTCAATGATTCTACATTTAGCGTCATTGTGACCCTGATTTTTTTACCCAATGGCCTCAAAATTATTAGGTGTCATCACGGATTATAGTAATGTAAATCCGTGGTGTCATCTACTGATCAGGAGCAATGATCTCACTAGGTTGTATAAACCATGGCTTATTCCTTCTTAATCATTCATCAGACAAGGATTTTACATGAAGTGTCATGTTTACCTAGAACCTTGACTCAAACATCCTTATAGACTACTGCCCATGGGCCTTGTCCCTACCAAAAAAGATAAACCAGGACTAATTCCTTCTCAAATTATCGTTTATGCAAGGTTAACAGGCCGATGTACGTACAAACTGACCGATTCTATAATAGAATTGTCCCCACAAAGGGCTATAACTTAGTCAAAGTTAATGTCTGATTGATGGGCCTTAGAAGGTGACTTTCTAATATGATCCTAAAGACATGTATCAAGTTTAAAGTGAATACTACAGTATTTTCAAAGATTAATGTTCCATGTAAAACTTTAAACAGAATTTTTTCTAAGTTTACAAAATTCATAGTGTAATCTGACTGGTTAATTATCTCGTGCGCACAACTTAGTTATCTCGTTTCTACCAGGGTCTTTCAAATAGAAAGACCCTGTTCCCACGACTTAGTAACTCGTGGCCACGACTTAGTAACTCGTGGCCACGACTTAGTAACTCGTGGCCACGACTAAATAACTCGTGGCCACGACTTAGTAGCTCGTGGCCACGACATAGTATCTCGTGCGCACCACTTAACAAGGGCGTAGCACCCATTACGCACAATACGCAATTGCGTATAAAAAAAATCCGAAGGTAAAACAATAAAGTTGAGAAAATCTAAGTTTTAATGATTTTATCGCTATAAATCTAGATCTCCATTTCTGTTTTTACAAAATATTTCGTTGCGTCATACTGTCTACAATTGTAAACTATGATTGCGTCACTATGGTATGACGTTTAGACTATTAATTATCGTAATATATGTGCAATAGGAATTTAAGTTTCTCGTTAACTCGAAGCATTTACAAACTTATTACACAGAGATAAATGAAAAGCTCAGCATTAATTTATCTACAAACTACTCTCATAATAACTTATCGTTGGTATAAAGATAATTAAGACTATTCTTAAAGATTTACACCAATCCTTTCTAAATCGTTTCCTTTGGAATAGCTCTGTTTTAAAAAGTCTTAAAATCTTTTAAGTTCTAGATTGAAATTTTAAAAATCATCAACTTTGGGGCAAAATTTAATTTTTGGTGTGTTGTTAGAACATTGTCAACATGAAAAGAAACATCCGCCAAATTCCAGGACAAGCGACCCTGCTTATGGAACTTAAACAGGACCCCATTCAAATCGATAATGAATCTGACCAGGCAGAAACAAAACAGAATTCACAAGACCTGGCATGTGACCCTCCTGTGATCAGCAAATCAGATGCCAATGTCGCGTCTCCTTCTCTCCCTTCTTCTGCTCCGTCCACCTCCTCCTCTTTGTCTCCCCCTGCTTCTTCTCCCCTCAAGAACCGCAAGAAGCTCCCTAGGAGCACGATTCCTGGATATCGGAAGTATTGATATGAGAAGCCGACTAAGAATGCCAGATTCTAAAAAAAAATTGTTGTCCTCACCAAACGGCTCGAGCCACATACAGGTTGGGTTGCACCTCTCAGAGAACTCGAAAAAAGGCACAAAATAGGCGAGTGCCAGACTTTGTGTTTGAGCAAGAGAAACACCCATCTTCTTAAGATACATCCCTTTTTTGATGGGGTACATGTATTTTGTGCTCAATGTTTTGCCTTTAATGCGGCTGAAAATGTGCTTGTTGCTCGTCTGTTGATTGACTGGAGCAACGCAAGAATAGTCGTTGATGGGCACACACACACACACTCAAAAGAACACATGAATTCCATCACAAGAGCCGACCACTTTGTACGCATCTGGGAGGAAGAGCAGAATGTGGTCGAGTTCGGATCGACGGCCTATCGGCAGAAAGTACAAAAGAACAGGGAGAAGTTAGCAGCCATCATTGAGGCCATATTTTTTGTGGGCAACAAAATACATCTATGAGTAAGTCCGATACTTTCTCATCAACGCCTGAGGAGACCTATGGAGTGACCATTAAACCATTTACTGTATCGTTGTATCTGGTAATTTCCCTAATTTCTTACAATGGAATAGAAGTGTTCTCAGAGTATAATTTTTCTTGTGCATTTGGAAATAATACATACACTTGGATAAATAAGACTGAAGGCTTAAGAGATACGGAACTGATGCTAAAAAAACTTGTTATCTGGTTAAATGCGTTAAACAATTGAACGGGCATTCATACATAAACCAATTTCATGATCTGCATCCTTTATCAAACTTCACATGGAAAAATGTTGGGTATGTTAATATGCACGTGTAAAAAAAGAAAACTACAAGGCATACACTGCCATTTTTCTTGGAAGTTATAATGACATAAGTTAAAAAATAAAACGAGCAGCTATATGTTTATCAATTTAGGGGGAAAAATGACTTGAAAATGATTTATGCTTTACGTGCAAAAGGTGCTTCAAGACATGCCAGAGCCCACGATTTACCATCTAATTTTTCAAAATTTTCCGGGGGAGACCCCCCGTACCCCCACCAGCGGGAGGGGGACACCCCCTCCCGCACGCTCCCCCTCTCGGCACTTCGTGCCTCGGTTTGCGTATAATTTTTCAAGCCCTAGCTACGCCCCTGCTTAATTATCTCGTGGTCACGACTTAGTATCTCATGGCAACGACTTAATTATCTCGTGGCCACGACACAGTATCTCGTTCCCACAACTTAATTATCTCGTTCCCACGACTTAACTATCTCGTGCCCAGGACTAAGCAACTCGTGGCCACGACATAGTATCTCGTGACCACGACAAAGTATCTCGTGCGCACGAGATAAATAAAAACACACATGTCACCTTTGTGCCACACTAAGGGTTTGGATAGTTCATTAATCATTTATACTTACTTCCCTTGTTCATGCTCTTCATGTAGAAGGTAGCTGTCAAAGACAATAGTTGCGCAACTGACCGGTAATTTTAGCGTATAAAAGCAAATTTGCACGTGTCTTGATGCTACATTCATCGTTTCACACATCCAGTTATATATTTTATCGAATTAGACAGCTTTCTTCACAACATCTATAAAATCATTGGTGCATTGAACAGTTTTACATTCAGTGGATCTAAACGAATCTGGGTGATTAAGAAATTTACATTGTAAGTAAGTATTTTTAGATCATAAATTATTTATTGTATATGCAGTCATTTAATTATTGATAAGTGTCAGTTTATTTGTTTTTTTAATTAAGAGTATAAATTCTTGAAATATTATTTGATTTTGCGTTTTTTGCCTGCAACTTTTATGCGATTTACGTATGTTATTAAACTTATCTGTAAATCATTATCATCATATTTATCTGTTCTATGTAGCCTATATATGTGCATATATGTGTTTACTAGACCTATAGTATAAGTATTGCTTTGTGATATTTTACTTCACAAGTATTTGCAAAGCAATAAAAATAATCGTGCAACAAATATTTTGGACTAAAGTTTAATTGACCAGTTCAACCTAACATGACCTAGTCCAGTTAATTTGACTTGTCAAAGGAACTTTAAGATAATTTTGGATGGGTGATGTCTTTTTTAAATTAGGATTAATGATTTGACACTAGGAAAAACAGTCTTTAAAATTAAACTGTTGACAGCTACAGTACAGTTCAGCAGTAATGAGTTTAACATTTTTACAAATTTAAAGAACACTAAGGGGAGCTGTGGTCTTGTGATTAAGATGTCTGCCTCTTAACCCTGGGTATCATTGGTTTGAGCCCTACTTGGGTCAAAACCTTTTTTCTTCATATTTCTTTATAAGACACAAGGACTGGTTGGTTCCAGGAAGCTGACTTGAAAGTGTTTAATAATTTAATATACATGTAAGTTGCAAGAGCTTGTTTGGCGATCGAGCTTAAATAAATAAGTTTAAACCAAAAAACACTTGATGATAAACATCTTCCATATTAATTAAGTGTTATCTTGTATGCATTATTGAGTATGATTATGAATAATGAAGAAACTATTGAAAAATATGTATGACACTAAATAGTTGACCTGATTATTTCTAAGTGTGTGAAATTTATGTTCTAGATTATGACATTTCAATATTTGACCTGCTTATTATATATTTTTTAATGTACTATATATAGAATTGATGAATAAGATAGAAGGCTTGCTTTTTAGACATAGTTTTTAATCTTGTTGTAAAGAATGCATGCCATTCCATGACTTGAACCAGGAGTACCATTCTGCAGCTATACTAACTTAGCTACAGCTGCTGCTTTTTAAATGTTTCCTTCCCATGTAACAGACATTATTATAATGTGACATTCATGTTGCAAGTAGATGTCTGCCGTGTTTTCACAAAAAATTAGAACTAAAATAGCATGGGATATCTTAATGCTAAGATTATCTGAGTCTCCAGTAGATTGTACTTTTTTTAAGAAAAAAAAACAAAAAATAAGTGAATAAAGTTAATATTACATTTTAAAGCAGTCTGTGCTTTTATCTAAGATTGTAATGGTAAACTTGTAATAAATAAAAACTCAAAATTTACAAAACACAACAAGGCTATTATTACATAATACCATCAATAAGTGTCAATATTCTTGTCTTTTGAAAATAATATTTGGTTATTCTTAGCAATAAATAGGCTCAACAAGCTCTTAACATTCTGTAGAACTTTAACCCTTAACCTGCCAAATATTGTAAATGGACTTGATCAGGTACTATAGTTGGAACTTTCCATTATCAATATTAGGGATGTAAAGTTTAAAATTAAGTCGTGCAACAGTGTAGAGCATGGGGTGGCTTGTTACTGTTTGTAAGTGCTATTAATCACTTTCGTTTCCAGCAAGGCAAATTCATTTGAAAATGTTATATAATGCATATAAATATTGGCTTTTTTTGCCAACTATTAAATCTGCTAAATTCTGGTAGCAGGTGCTTTTGATTACATCATGCAATTTGCCTATATGGACTGTATTTAGGGTTACATAACTTGACTGGAAGTTCAAGTTTTTTGTGTGAAAGACTTTTATGGCATGACCAATGGCCTTTCTACATGTGTATCTACCATTTATACCAGTATGAAGGCCTTGTATTGCTAAGATATCTCAGGTTTGCCGTTTAGAATATAACTCACTCTGCTGTTAATTTAAGAGGGCAAATAAAAGTTTACGCAAAACGTTATATATTCGAAAGTGTGAGGTTCTTGAATATATTAAAATGCTTTGTAAAACGGGCAGATAATACCATTATCACACCTAAACGTTGCATTTGGAAGTTTGAGGTTCTTGAATGTATTCAAATGCTTTGTTAAACCCACAGATTATACCATTATCACACCCAAACATTATATTCAAAAGTTTGAGGTTGTTGTTGAATATATTCAAATGCTTTGTTAAACCTACTGATAGGGGCGTCCGTGGCTGAGTGGTTAAGGTCTTTGACTTCAAACCACTTGCCCCTCACCGCTGTGAGTTTGAATCCCAACAGGGACTTTGGATTCTTTCATGTGAGGAAGCTATCCAGCTAGCTTATGGAATGTCGGTGGTTCTTCTCAGGTGCCAGTTCATGCCTGAAATAATGCAAGAAAGGGCACCTGAGGTCTTCCTCCATCATTAAAGCTGGAACGTCACCATATGGCCTATATTGTGTCAGTGTGACATAAAACCCAATTTAAAAAAAAAAAACACCAAACGTTACATTTGAAAGTGTGAGGTTATATCTTGAATATACTCAGATGTTAAACCCACAGATTATTATTTATACTATTATCAAAGTAATTTTTAGTTTAAAGCCAACAAAGATAAAGTAATAAATTATTGACATGTGGATACCTTTTAGGATATGGCAGCATCTGAAAGAACACCGTTACTAGTTAATGCAGTCGAGAGCCAATCAAAGGATGCGATAGTACCAACATCTCCAACCGGAACGGCTGAATTCTCATTCAAAAGTGTAGATAGACGGAAAAAATTCATCTTGGTGTCCATGGGGTTTGTGAACTTTTGCGCCTCATGCTGTTTTTCACTTCTAGCACCATTCTTTCCAATAGAGGTAAAACCTTTGGTTTATACAGATTTATTTTAATATAATTTCAAGCTATAAGAGTAATACATGTATTATTTATTTTAGTTTGATTGCATAGGCTATAAGCATATAGACACACTTTTGAATCTGTTTGTGTAAGTCAACCAACCAGTACTGAGCAAATGAGTGTTAAGTTTCTTGCTCAAGGAAACAGTGACTTGACCCTGACAGGGTTTTGAACCCATGCGTCGCTAGCGATTATAAGATTAATAGTCTGACGCTTTAACCACTTAGCCATGCCAAAACTTTAAAAAATGACCTTTTATGACCTTTTCTTTACATCTGATATCATAACAACCATCTTACTGAAACCTGCAACTCAGGGTTTCCATTTATATCCAGAATTTTGAAGTTGGATACTGCAAAAAAGCTCTGATATTTGAAGGTACATCATATAAATATACATGTAGGTATCAACTGCTTACTGAAAATTTACAAATATCACAAGTCAAGGCTTTTTTCAACATAAGTTTTTTTTTACCTAAATTGATACAGTATTTCACATATAATTGTATTTGGACACTAACTTTCACAAATCAAAGAGCCATGAGCCACTACATGAAAGATTAAAAAATGAACACTGTTTTGAGTTTTGTGCATTATAATGGGACCTGTAGAAAATCTATATGATGATTTTTGATTCCATAATATTTTACTAAGTACATTATGATTCTGTCTTTCTGTATTTCTTCACCTTAGTACAATAACATGTTATCCCCTTATATTATTTATAAGGAGTAAACCCGTTACTGACTAAGAAGGTGACAATTTTATTTTTATATTCTCCAGGCTGGACATAAAGGTGCCTCTCAAAGTGTAGTAGGTCTTATTTTCGGCGTGTTTGAACTTGTTATATTTATATCATCACCTATATTTGGTAATTATGTAAGTATATTTTACAATCTGTTTCTTTTCAAAATAGTTAAAGGCATTGATAGTTTGGTCAATATAATATCCAATAACTCTTTTGAAGACTATTGAAGAATAGGGAAAGCTATTGTACTCTCACAGGCATCGGCTTCAACCTTTGGATAAATTTTATGTGCAAGTTGCTATCTCAAAAACAACTAAAGCGAATGAATTAAAACTTCACACACTTATTTGAAAGCATAATGGTACTACCCAAGACCCATAACTCTTATATGGATTTTGACAGAATTATGGCCTATTTTGAACTTACAAAAAATTCTACTTTAGTGACTACACAGGCTTTTGTTTTACTATTGAGCGAGCACACCATCATGACTAACAAGTGACAGCACTTGAATGTGTTATTTTATTATTTGAAGACCGTTGTTGATAATTTGTTTAAGACAAGCAAAATAAGCTAGCCATTGCTTTCCTTGATTGAAACCTGGTTCTTTATTTTGGTTTAAAATCAACAAATGCAGTTATTTTTAGCTCGACTATTCGATAAGAATAAGTAGAGTTATTGTAGTCACCCGAGCGTCGGCATCGGCGTAACCACTTATGTTAAAGTTTTTGTAATAGTTCAAATATTTTCAAAGTCCATAGACATATGGCTTTGAAACTTTGCACACTTGTTCACCATCATGACCCCAACCTGTAGACAGGAGGAGGTAACTCTATCAAGCATTTTGACAGAATTATGCCCCTTTTTCGACTTAGAATTTACGTTAAAGTTTTTGTAATAGTTCAAATATTTTCAAAGTCCATTGACATATGGCTTTGAAACTTTGCACACTTGTTCAACATCATGACCCCAACCTGTAAACAGGAGGAGGTAACTGTATCAAGCATTTTTTTTACTATCAAGCACTAAGAATAGTCAAGCGTTGCTGTCCTACCGACAGCTCTTGTTTAATTTGTACATCTGTGTTGCTTGATCATATTCTGCACTGTTCGCTATTCATTGGGTACATGATTTGAAAATTTCCCTAAAAATGATGAAAGGTTGTATAAAGATTAAAATATGGACAAGTCCATTTAAGATTTATGGTGATTAGTCTTGTTTAACCTTTAACGTTATGGAAGCTATGAAGTTACTAGCCCTTGCCTACTAGCTAAGAGCCAGTCAAGCTTGCCCATCTGTGCAATCTTATATTGCTAACTGATTTTCTTTAATTTTTAGCTCGACTATTCGATAAGAATAAGTAGAGCTATTGCAGTCACCCGAGCGTCGGCGTCGGCGTCGGCGTAACCACTTATGTTAAAGTTTTTGTAATAGTTCAAATATTTTCAAAGTCCATTGACATATGGCTTTGAAACTTTGCACACTTGTTCACCATCATGACCCCAACCTGTAAACAGGAGGAGGTAACTCTATTAAGCATTTTGACAGAATTATGCCCCTTTTTCGACTTAGAATTTACGTTAAAGTTTTTGTAATAGTTCAAATATTTTCAAAGTCCATTGACATATGGCTTTGAAACTTTGCACACTTGTTCACCATCATGACCCCAACCTGTAGACAGGAGGAGGTAACTCTATCAAGCATTTTGACAGAATTATGCCCCATTTTCGACTTAGAATTTACGTTAAAGTTTTTGTTATAGTTCAAATATTTTCAAAGTCCATAGACATATGGCTTTGAAACTTTGCACACTTGTTCACCATCATGACCCCAACCTGTAGACAGGAGGAGGTAACTCTATTAAGCATTTTGACAGAATTATGCCCCTTTTTCGACTTAGAATTTACGTTAAAGTTTTTGTAATAGTTCAAATATTTTCAAAGTCCATTGACATATGGCTTTGAAACTTTGCACACTTGTTCACCATCATGACCCCAACCTGTAGACAGGAGGAGGTAACTCTATTAAGCATTTTGACAGAATTATGCCCCTTTTTTGACTTAGAATTTACGTTAAAGTTTTTTGTAATAGTTCAAATATTTTCAAAGTCCATTGACATATGGCTTTGAAACATTGCACACTTGTTCACCATCATGACCCCAACCTGTAAACAGGAGGAGGTAACTGTATCAGGCATTTTTTTTACTATCAAGCACTAAGAATAGTCGAGCGTTGCTGTCCTACCGACAGCTCTTGTTCATCTTGAATACCCCAAAATTGATAATTAAAAATTCCAAAATTTGAGTCTCCGGACAAGTGTTCAGTTTAAGATATTCACTGGTTAAGGGTCAAACAATTTTGGCAGAGAGTCTGACCTCAACTTGTTTTGAGGTTAATGACAATTATGTCTATTAAGATAAAAGATTCAAATAGTTATACAATGCATCAGCCATTGATATTGTCTTATATATTTCAGATATCCAAGATAGGATGTAAATTTATGTTTATATCTGGTATAATGGTATGTGGATCATGTGCTATATTATTTGGGTAACAATTTTCGATGATTATTAAAAAAACTGTAAATAAAAGTTTTGAAATATTTCTAAACTAAAACATTAGTGAAAATTTTAAGTCAGTGAGCGTTGAATTCTTCTGACAGATATTTTAAGGATGCCTGACAGAAAATTTTGTTGTGTTCTATTTTAAAATTATTTTTAGCACCCTAGTTTGAAGAAAAAGTCTTGGTATTATGATGGCAGCATCGTCGTTGACGTTGTGCAATAACTTTTATATAGTCGATCATTCAAAAATTTTAAAAGAAATAAATACAGAAGTTGGGATACTGGCTTATCATGACAATGTGCAGTTGTAGGACAAGGGGCGTATTATTCTGAAAGCTATATTTTTAAAGTTATGTCCCTTTTTAATTTCTAATTTTTGTCAAAATTGCTAAGAACCGTTTCAAAAATACCAAAGGTATCAAAATGGAACTTGAAATACTTGCTTATCATGACAATGCGACAATTGAAATTTGTAAGACAAGGGGCATAATCCTGAAAGCAATATTTTTAGAAATTATGCCCCTTTTTAACTAAGAAAATTTATAAAATTGGTTTTTGATAGTTGTGCAAAATGACAACAAAAAGGAAAAGCATTTAAATGCTAACTCAAATTGGGCTGACAACTTCAAAAAAGTGGATATTCATTTAAATTCTGAGTATATTTTATTTAAGAAATAATATATCCCAAACTGTGATTTTATTGCTCAATAACATCACTGTTTGGAGTTCGGATGCGGGGAATTATATCACGAGGGCACAGCCCGAGTGATATAATGATGCGCATCCGAACGACAAACAGTGATGTTATCAAGCAATAAAATCACCGATTTGGATATATTATTTCGATTCTAACACGACATTAAGAAATAAATGCTGCCGTACATGATAATTAGCTAAATTGCGCCGGATTTGTTTCCGTACTTATTGTCATCGCGTCACATTTTTAGTGATTACGTCACGTGTATAATGATTACGTCACATGTCTAAATATAGAACGTCAAACAGTGATTTTATAGCATAATAACACACACTTTCGGTTCTTCTATGTTCAATAGGGAAAAATGTGGGTTGTGTTAGAATATTTGTTTTTGCATGTTTTTCTGTTATAATACTCCAGTGGCTCTAATAATGTATGAAATTTCAAATTTTATGCCTTTAAACAAATGGAGCTCAGTAGAACTCCTTTAACATAATGGTAGTTTTGCATAATACATGTTTATGTATCAATAGAGGATATTGAATGAGTGTAGTTTAATACTAAATCTATTGAACAAGTCAAATAAAATCATATTATTTGAGCCTCTGGCAAGCATAATATTGTTTTATTCAACAATGTCAATAAATTGAGTATTGACACTACACAAATATAATGTTCTAATTATAACATATCTATAATAAGAATGGTTAACTGTTAAAAGGAATCACTTTTCATTGACTTGCCTATAGTGTAATGCTAACATAATATATTAAGTGCACTTTTACGATATGTTTATAATTATACATTATATAACGCAAATGACGTCACATAAAAGTGTTATTACAATAGTGTAATATCGTTCTTCTTAAATGGCCTTATTTAACACTAATGGGCTGCGGTTTAAGTGATCAAATGCCTTTTAATATTATTTCTTATTTGTTTATGTTACAGATTATTAGACAAATGTCCTGACGGCACAATGTTTATTGTGATGTGCTTTCTATGTCGGTCTATCGAAGCCCTCGGCTGCTCTGCGTTCGTAACAGCGCTATTCGCTATACTAGCCCACGAGTTTCCAGACAGTGTTATAACTGTAATGGTGAGTATCGAAGACGTAATTGGTTAAAGATATACTATGCCCAAATTTCATATTAAACATATTGATAATTGATACACAGTCTCTTCATCAATATAAAATAAACATGTTGTGACTTCACACAAAGTAAATAATTATGTTGTGTGTTAAAACTGTTCACACTTTTTGTGGTCACAATATGAATATTATTATATTGTCATTAAACAAAAAAATGGCAGTTTTTTTGAAAAAATGACGAAATTCACCTGACCTGTAAAATAGAAAGGTTTCCATAAATACACAGTTAATTCATTCTGTTTTTCAAATTAGACATATTCACTAAGAATTTCATAAGTTTCAATAAATTTCTGTGATAATGATTAAAGTATTTTACTCAAGGATGAGCATAGTATGTAACATGTTTAACATAAAGGATTTAACCCTTACCATGCAAAATGGACTTGTCCATCTTTCAATCTGAACAATACCATTCACAATATTTAGGGGTAATATCTAAAATAATATGTACATTCAACATGAATTGACTAAATAGCAAACAGGGTAGATCATGTAAGACAGCATGGATGCACAATTTGTTGTGGCATTGTTGCAATTAATATTTTGATATATCAAGATGAATGATGGCATAGTGGTTTAGCTGTCTCTTAAGTGTGAGCCCTAATTAGGGTCTTGACAGTTTTTCCTCCAATATCACAAGTACTGGTTTGTTAATTCAAGGAACTTCCCTAAGTAAGACTTTACAATCAATCAATTAAATATCTCTAAAGCAACCACCAAAATTTTTGTTGGTCTCCCAAAAAATGTTGTTTTGCAAAATCAATTTGAAATGACAGTTCATGGACAATTAGATTCTTGACATCCATTATACTTCAATTATTTATGGCAAGATCTGTTTTATCACTTGCTGTAAAATCATAATTATTCTTTGGGCATTAATTTTCATGGTTTTCGTGGATAGGTCAATCCACAAATTTTAAGAGCCAACAAAATTTCATTTTGTCTGCTGTAAGATTATTTTGCATCACTTTTTGTTTACATTTTATCTTTTGGAAAAATAAATAGTAAATGAATGTAAGAACTCACGGAAATGTTCTTTGTGACTAAAACCAAGAAAATTTATGCCCACGAAATTAAGTGAATTCACAGTAGTATAAATATCATGTTTCCTATACATTGTAGGGTTCTTTAGAGACATTTAGTGGTCTTGGAATGATGGTAGGGCCTCCTATAGGTGGCGCTCTCTATGAGGTATGTATGTCTTATCATTAAATTAGATAAAGTTTAAAGCGGCTTTCAGCTTTTCTAAAGGTCAAATATATTATTCTTAGATAAATCGTTCCATATTATTGTTAAGTCAAATAAATTACAATGTAAAACCAATTTGCCATCACTAAAATACGAACACAATAAGGAAACCCCTCATTACCTGAGTCTATGCTCTCTATAGGTAAATTCGTGAAGAGGACGATTTGTTTCCTGATCTTCTATTTTTAGAAACAATGCCTCTGATGTGCTATAAATAGCTCTTGGGATGCTGTTTTGAAGAAGGCTTAATTATCAGTGATATTCAATAATTTTTAACAGTTTAAAACCAGACTTTAGTAAATAGTGATAAAGGATGAGTGATTGTAAAGAGTGATTGTAAATAAACTAATGCCCAAGATTTTGACAAAACGTTCGGGAAATAACAGATTTGCTACAATATTGGCCGATGTTAGAATTTTTTGGCGGGAAAGCATTACAGTAAGACTACCTTTAGTAGTCATGGCAAAATATTTTTTCTCTCCTTATTAGCTTGGTGGTTATGGTCTGCCATTTTTTGTCATGGGATCAGTTGTTATTTTTTGTGGAGTACTTGTAACTCTCGTCATGCCAACCATAGAAGGTATGTTATCATTTTTGTTTCTTATTGCCCATTCAGTCAATTAGTTTGTTTATAAACAAATAAGACATTTGGTCCAAGAATCATGTCTTCTCAAGAGCTTTTTTTTTAGTGTTTTTGTTTTTTAGCTCACCTGTCACAAAGTGACAGGGTAAGCTTTTGTGATCGCTTTTCGTCCGGCGTCCGTCCGTCCGTAAACTTTTACTTTAAATGACATCTCCTCATAAACCACTAAGCCAATTTCAACCAAACTTCACAGGAATGTTCCTTTGGTGGTCACCTTTAAAAATTGTTCAAAGAATTTAATTCCATGCAGAACTCTGGTTGCCATGGCAACCGAAAGAAAAAACTTTAAATATCTTCTTTTAAAAAATCCTAAGAGCTAGAGCTTAGATATTTGGCATGAAACATCTTCTAGTGAGTGTCTACCAAGTTTGTTCAAACCGCCCCAGGGGTGTCATTGATTTTAACTATATGTGTATAGTAAAAACTTAAAAATCTTCTTTTCAAAAACCCAATGAGCTAGAGCTTAGATGATTAGCATGAAATATCTTCTTATGGATGTCTACCAAGTTTGTTCAAATAAAAGCCCTCGGGTGAAAATTGACCCTGCCAGGGGAAGGGGGGAGGAGAGATCATTGTTTTTCATTATATGTGTGTACTAAAAACTTAACATTGTGAAATAAAATCTTAACATTGTGAAACATCTTCTAATGAGTGTCTTCCAAGTTTGTTCAAATAAAAGCCCTGGGGTTTAAACTGGCCCCGCTCTGGGGCCCTATATACAGGTGAGCGACCTCAGGGCCATCATGGCCCTCTTGTTTAGCTCACCTGAGCACAAAATGCTAAGAAGTGAGCTTTTGTGATAGCATGATATCTTGTGTCAGTTGTGCTTTATCTACAATTTCTTTAAACAGCATATCTTCATTAACCGCTTAGCTGATTTTGACCAGACTTCACAGTAATGATTTAGAGGTCACAGGCACTTTATTGCAGTTTTTTTGAAATGGACTTATTTTGCTGTGAATAAGGAGCAATTTGTTAGTGTTTTCAGGGTTTCAGAAATATTGCAATTCGTTTACCATCAGTATAGTCAGATAGCAGTTTTACCTGGCTATATGCTAGCAGCTCATTCTTATACAGTCATGTATTATCATCACAGTCCTGCCAGGGACTTTGGATTCTTTCTTGGGAGGAAGCTATCCAGCTAGCTTATGGTTCTACTCTTCTACTCAGGTGCCAGCTTGTGTCTGAAATAATATATGGAGGGGGCACCTCTGAGGTCTTCCTCCACTAGTAAAGACTAAAAGATGCCATGTTCTATATTTGCTGATGATTTTGATATTATATTATTGTTATACAAACTTCTTTTTACAGGCTCGAAGGAGAAATACAAGGGCTCAGTGTTAACATTATTTAAAAGTCCTTTAGTTATCATAACTTGGTTAAATTTAGTATTAACGAGTCTAAGTATAGGTTATTTTGAGCCGACCCTAGCTAACCACCTGTTACAGGTAAGTTGTCGGGCGTGGACACGGTAATCGGCATGTATTTTCTGTTTGTGTGGTTATTACTGTATAAGTGGTTAAGTTAGCGATGCGGAAATATTGGCGAATTTGGTGAATTGACTAAAAATTGCTAAAAGTTCCTTGAGTATAAATATCAACCAACTTATTTTCAGTTTTCATGCTACTCTGAGATTGGTGATTGGCTAATGCATTGTATTTCCGCTATCAAAATGTTTGAAATTTTAAATTTGCTAACTTTTCAACACTCGCATAAATGTCCACTTATACAGTATGTGATACTTACTTTATGTCAAGGGTTTGGCTTTCTGCTGCTGTAGTGTTTGTTATTTAACACAGTTGTTATGCTTTAAAGTTTGCTGGCCAGCACAGTTTTGGAAAAATGTTGCTATTTTGCACCTATACGACTAGTATATTGTAAATATAACTGTACACACAAGAAAATGCATAAATACATGTATAAAAGTCTGTAAGTTAGGAAATTACATGTATGCTTTCAAAACTTGGGGAAAAAAACTTTTTAGGCATAGCCTGTTGGCGTCAATTGGATCTACCCCTGTTTCCTTTGTAGGCCAAGATCAGCATAAACATCTTGACACCTTCTTTCAAACAGATTTTTTAAATACCCTTTTTAAATAGCAACTTTAAGATTTCCAGACCCGTCCACATTATTGATTCTTTTAATAAACATCAAATTTTTTGATATTCATGTTTTTACGTCACAAAACGTTATAACTTTTTCCTTTCTGAGTTTAAATTTACCCTGAATAAGTGTGATTCTCAGGGCATTTTCAGGCTATTTTGGGACTAGGCCCCTGACATGAATTGGAAATAACTATTTGACATTTTGGGATATTTCAGAAAATGTTTAAAACTTAGAAAAAAAACTACCTTATATATGACTTGCAAGTTTTTTAACATGTGTATGATCTCATCTTTTAAGAAACACATCAAGACAATTCAGTTTTTCTCAAAAGTTGAATAGTTTGATTTTTAGACTTTGGGATTTTTTTTCTGGAATTCGGATAAAAGAGGCTAATTTTGATTGGGAATGGGACCCCTGGTGATAGGGTTCTAAAATTCTACTATAATTAATGCTTGTTCATAATTATACTTGTATTGTCAATGCAAAACCTGCCAGTAATAATATAACCAACGTAGTAAAATTGCCTAATCAACGGTAAAATGTCAGTTAGGTATAAGATGATTTTGTGGAAGGGCCTGAATAAAGTACTGGCTTCCATGTATTCTTTTTCATATTGTAGATTTTAATGTTTTGTTAGATAAGGTCATGCTTAAAAAATAGGTTGGTTTGCTGTCAATATTTGCTAACAATGGGTAGGGCATTAATATTAGGGCCTTTCCCAGCTGTTTGGGGAAAAGGCCCCTCAGTTAGGCATGAATTGGGAAAAATTATTTGGCATTTGAATTTTTTTAAAGTTAATAAACTACCTTATACATGACTTTCAAGTTTTTAACATTTGTATGATCATAATTATAGCCTTTGATGTTTTTTTTTTATAAGAATCAAGTAAACATGCTTAAATATTCTCTTAGTAAGAAAAACAGTTGAATTCTTTTGGCTGATGTTGGGATTTTTTCTTTTTAAAATTGGGAAAAAAAGAGACTATTTTGAAATGGGAATGGGGCTTTATTTCAGCCCTGATGATAGGATGAAAATGCCCTGAATATTTAGCACAAGTCAGTCTCTTGCTGCAAACTAACAATTTTCAAAGGATGGCCTTATTGTGCTCTTAAGTGCTTACTTATTTTTGTTTTGTTTATTTTTATTAATTAATTCAGTAATTTGATACAAATAACTCACTGATATTAATTTTTTTGTTTCTCTAGTTCCTCTCTGTTTTAACAAGGCTATAAATTATTTTAGTTTTATATCACATAAACATAGGAGTGAAATTACCCATTTAATAAAAATAATATGACACATTTAGTGTAATAACGCTTTGATGTAACATCATTTGCCTTATATACAAACATAGCATTAAAGTGGGCTAATGCTAGCATTACTCAAAAGTTGCATCAACAAAATATGACTCTTTTAAGCTGTAAACTGTTCTTATTTTAGATATGTGATAAATAGAATGTTATTTTTGTGTAAATTCAGTTACTAAATTTATTGAAGTTGTTGAATAAATTTTTGAGTAATAAATCTACACTCATTCAATATCCTATGTGTTTTACCTTCAAGATATCTTAATATTTTATACAGCAAGACTGTTTCAGATAAGAATAAGATTTTCCCAGTTACAATAAAAAATTGCTTAATGAAAACTATACAATTTTCAGGAAATATCATAGTTTTACTTTTTCTTTGTACTCTGATTGAGAAATCTAAATAGGAGTGAATTAAAGTGTACAATTAAGATGAAGTAGGGAAAAAGTAAACCACATGTTAATAAAATCTTTTTATTAATTTTATGCATAATAATTTTATGATACAGTAAATAACATAATGCAACTTGAAAATTATATTTATATATTCTTTATCTTTATTACACCAATAATTTTTGTGTAATATAATTTCCAAACCTTGGTTAAGTCATCGTTGGATACCCACGGTTGATTAACATGTAACATAACATATGTTAATGGTTCTGTCATCTCTAAAATGCCCAATTTTTTAAGAAGTACTTATCCCAAAACAAACAGAAAAATGGCTTGAGCAAAAAATTCTAGAACAAAATTGACTTCTTAATTTTTAAGCTTGATTTGGATTCATGATTTTTATACGATTAAATTACGTTAATCTAATTTTAATTTCAACAAAACTCTAAATCTCTTAAAAGTTACGACAGAAATTATTGTGAACATTTATCGAAGTACATAATTATGAATATATCACAATTTTTCAGATAGCAAAAGGAGATTTAAGGGAACTATATTTGGACTGCTCAAAAGTCCTATGATACTTGTTACATTCCTAAATATAAGTGCTGGAAGTATAGCCCTAGGATTTATGGACCCAACACTAGCTAACCATTTACTACGGGTACTGTACCAGTTTATTATTACCTGCCTATAATTAGAGTGAGAAAAAAATATTACCCACATAAATTGATAGAAATTTTGAGTTAAGAAAATATGATAAAAAAGTACAATTTACCTGCTTAGATAAAAGGGCAAAGACATTTCTGTATAGAGCTGGTCTAGATAGCAGCATGCCTCCAGATTCATGCTTATTTTCATTTATTTAATGCTTCATGCCTCCAGATGAGCCAAAATATTTTAAGAAAATTAAGCTGGAGAAAAATTGACTAAGATTTTAATTAAAGTTAAAAAGATTTAAGATTCAAGCAATAATTTACATGTCATATGCAATTAAGGACTGATTTTGCAGTATTAATCACCATATTGCAACTGCGTTTAACGAAAGCAGTATGTGCTACTTTTGCTTATTTTGACCTCTTTCTGGTAATTTACGTGGATTGCAAGTGCTGTTTGCAATAAGTAAATTATTTTCTTTGTGAGTTGAACAAAGAAAGTTATGTACACATTGCAAAATATCACTTACACCCCACAAAAATTACAAAAAAGAAGTCAGAATATGCAAAAATAGCTCTTACTGTATTCAACTTCGTCACCTTTAGAAATGTACTGGCAAATCTGGAGGCATGCACCTTTAAAGCCAGACTCAATGTTGGCAGCACAATTCTTTTTAATGTCTCCTTAAACTATGAATTGAATTGACCAACTCAAAGCTTGGCAAATCCATATTACAAATTCATATGGTTTAGGGTTAATAATATCTTACCTTTATAAATCTAGATAAAAAATATTTGACTTCATGAATTGAAAAGATAATTTACTGCATAAATTTAGAAAATCTGCATAAGAAATTAATTACTTGCATTAGTTAATATAGCATGTCAAAATTTACTCTGCAGAATGTAATGAAATAAAATGAAAATAATTTTTTTTTACTGAAAAAAAAAAGAATATCTTACTATCAATACTTATTTATTTAACTCTTAAACACTTAATTTGAAAATAATTATCAGTATTAATATATAATATTTTAATGTCTTGATTGATTTTATTGATTTCTTTCCTTCCTTTCCTTTATAATTTCAAGGATTTCTCTCCGCTGACTTTAATAATTTGTTTCCTTACCCCTATGCCAATCTCTCCCGTGTTTTTCCTAAACTAACACCTGTCCCACCAAAACACACAGAATTTTTTTTAGAGTATTTCTTTTGAATAACCATTTCATATTAACAACCATTTCTTAATAATAAACATTTCTTATCAACAACCATTTATTATTATCAACCTTTTCATATTAACAGCTTTTGTTCATAAAAAAAAAAATAATCACCCACTTTTTATTTACCATACCATAATTTTTATTTGTTTGTTGTTTTTTGTTGCATGTCTGCACTATATCTACTACACTACTAGTATTTATTATAATTATGTTCTAGAGATACTAGCTGTATTGTATATGAAATTTTCTTTCTCATATAAAATTAAATAGAATAAGAAAATATGTAAACATGAATAAGAAAATATATAAACAGTTTGATGTAATTAAATCAAATATAATATTTTATATTCACTTTATATAAAGACAATTTTCTCTGTATTTCAACAAATATAATTTATTTACATGTATTTCTTTTCCATTATTAAGGGAGCTCCACTGAAGGGTTCCAAAAACATAAAATTTGAAATTCCTAGTCATAGAATTTATACTGGGAAACTAAAAATAGAAAAATGTACAAAAGATGTTGAATAAATATAGTCAGAATTATTTTTATTTTTTTAAATTGTTCTGATTCTTAGCCCAAATTATGCGTTAAAAGTGTTTTTGTGTTATAATTTGCACAATTTAAATAATTATTCTACAACAAGCAAATGATCTAGAATTATGCTCATGATTTAGTGGTCCAGACTAACACCAGTACATAAATATTAGAAAAAAATTAATTCTAGTTCTCTATTGTAAAAAAAAGCCTGGGTTGAGTCCCTTTAACCTTGATGGAGTCCCTTTAATGAAATATCTACTGATTAAAATGTATATTATTTTATGAAATATACTTTAATAGTTTGATCTGAAGACTTGGGTAGTAGGAATGATGTTTCTAATAGCACCAGCTGTATATGGTCTCACCGCACCATTTTGGGGATATCTTGGAGATAAAAAGGTATGACACTTGATCGTTTGTTGTATCACTTAGATAAAAAGGGTATCTTAAATGACACTTGATAAAGCTATAGTATTTGCTATATCACTAAGTTTAGTAAAATGTAACTTCATCTATTGTCTTGGCGAAGTGGTTAAGGTCAGAGCCTTTAAGCCACTTGCCCCTCACCTTTGTGGGTACAAATCCTGATAGGGACTTTTGATTTTCTTATGTAAGAAAGCTTTTCAGCTAGCTTACAGAATGTTGATGGTTCTACTTAATAAAGTGCCCATTTATGTCTTAAAAAATGCTCGTCAGGGCTACTGAGGTCTTCCTCCACCAATGGAGTTGGAAAACTGACATATGACCTGTGCTGTGTTTGTGTGACCTAAACCCAAACAGACAAAAATTGTCATTTGTATAGTAATGAATTTGTTTTTAATGTTTCAGGGAAAAGTAAGGCTGATGATTGGGGGAGGTAACTTGTTTGCTGTAACTGCATGGTTACTTCTTGGTCCTGCGCCGTTTCTGCCCTTTATTCCCGAGTAAGTATTCCTGTTTTGTTGAAAATCAAAATACTACATGTACTACTGTGTTTTTATTCTTTGCTACTTTTATGACAAAATAATTTCAAACTTAAATTTCCTTTCTTCGGGTTACAAGTATCTAAAATGCTAGGGGAACAGGGCCTAGTGGTTAAGTTGTTTGCCTCTCAACCTAGGGATCATGGGTTCGAACCTTAACCAGGTCATGACTATGATTCTTCAAATGACACCAGTACTGGTTGCTTCCAGGTCAAGTGGACACGAAAGTGATTAATATAAGTTGCAAAAACTTGTTTTGCAATCAAGCTTAAATAAATATGTTTAAACCAAATCTTACATTCCGAAAAACCATTATTTAAATATTATAAAACTCATGCAAGCTACGAGGTGATAATTCAATCATTTCTCAGGCATTATGTGCCTTTCAAATAGAGAAAAATAAGGATGAGTTTTATTTCTAATTCTATAAAAAAATTTTAACTATATTTTCAGTGCCTTGTATGTGAATATTATATCTCTATTATTGATTGGACTGTGTATTGGCTGTTCTTTAATACCTACATTTAAAGCATTACTCATTGGAGCCAAGTAAGTACAATCAAAACCTTTCTTTGTATCAAAATCATACATGCCATATTTTATAAACTACTTTCTTGGACACTTTTCATCTAAGTAAATTTGGGGTGGGGCTTATTTGGGATCAGCAAGGAAATGGTTTTTTAATTTTGCTTAGTGCATGACACAATCTCATTGGAACCCTCGGGGACAGTCCCATGACAGTCACCTGAATTGCGGGACAGTCCCTGATGTCCGGGACGTAATGGCATGTATGTTCAAAATAGAGGATATTGACTGTGTACAGATTTAATTCTGAATTCAACAAGTTCAATAAATTAAGTTCAATAAATTAAGTTGATTGAAGCTGCACGAATATTATGTTCTATTTATCACATACTCGAAATAAGAACTACAGCGTAATTACAGTCAGAAATACTCATTCTTTCATTGACTCGCCTATAGTATAATGCTTACATTTAGCGCATCTTAACACTATGTTTATATAACATAAATGACATCATGTCAAAATTTATGCATGGTCATGCAAAACCATTTTTACGGTGTTACAAAAGCGGCTTATAGGTATGTGATAATAGTTTTTATGTAATGACATAAAAAAGTTAATAATTTTTTAAAACTTTAGTCATATAAAGAATAGTGCTGAAATTTTTTACATATTTTGTAAATTAATATGCAAAGAATCTATGTTATTTGCCTATTAAAATAAGTATTCTTGGGAATTTTTACGTTGAGCATTTTTGGGAAACATATCTTAACAATTCTTTCTCTTTTTTTTTGGAAAAGGGGGTGGGGTGGAGTGGGAGTATTCATAATAAGCATTCTTGGGAAATTTATGGTAAGCACAATTCTTTGGGAAAATGATTGGGAAAGATTATATTTTAAGCAACCTTGGGAAATCTATCTGGAGCATTTAATGTAAAATTCATAATAAACATCTTTGGGCAATGTTTGTTCAACATTCTATTTTTGGAACATATACATGTATAATGATAGATCTTTTGGAAATGAGACAGATACAATATTGTTGGTGATTGACGAAATAGAAGTCAATTTTCTGCTGTACTTATTTATATTGAAAAATACAATACTGGTCTTGATTGACAGGTTTTATCAAAAATGGCCATCATTCAGATGTGGTCTTTCTGCAGAATTTTGCTTTACATTTTACTTGTTTTATGATTGTGTCAAAAAGTGAGTTTTATATTACATTTATTATTTCAGCTCCTTAGGGTTACCTAATGATATTGATACTTATGGAAAGGTATCTGGTTTCTTCAATTCTAGTTTTTCTTTCGGGTGAGTACAGACATAAATAACAATTAAAAAAAGAACTAGAAAAAAAAGAAAGAAATGGAGAAATTTTAAAGCTGCATGCCTCCAGATGAGCCAAAATATGGACTTAGATTTTAAGAAAAAGTAAAAATATTTCAAGGTTAAATAATTTACATGTTATATGGGATAAGTGACTGATTTTGTGGTATTAATCATTACTAGTATATTTCTACTGAGTTACTAACGCAGTGAGGGCTATTTTTGCATATTTTGACTTCTTTTTGGTAATTAATGTGGATTGTTTGTGCTGTTTGCAATGTGTTAATTACTTTCGTTGTTCAATTCACAATAACTTACTTTTAAATTAAATTTATTTTCAAAATTTTCATTTATGAATCTGGAGGCATGTTGCTTTAAGAATAACAGGGCTTTTTTGAGGGTTTTATCCAATCTAGTTACTTGAAAACCCTGTGGATGTGCCTTTATGGATTGAGGCATCAGAATCACGGCCACCTTTTAATCCTATGTGATCATAAGAGGTGACTTAATGAGTTTTGAATTTTTGGAGTCTATGCATCTCTTAGCTCCAGCAGACGAGGTGGTTTTTGACCCTTGTGTTGGTTTAAGTTTGTAACACCGGAGATTAGTATTTCCTGTTTTGGCGCCATGTGTTGGTGCGCCATAAAACCAAACAAAACAAAGTACTTAAAATATTGAATAATTGGACACAGGATGTCTTCTTTTTCCAACCAAGCTGGAAATTTACCATATGACACATTCTTATATTAGTTTGTTACCAGAACATCATTCTCAAATATAAGTTAATTGTATGTGTTCAGTTCTTTGTATTTGACAGCCTACATGGTTGAGTGAGTGGTTGATGTTACTTACTTTAATAAAACATGAAACTTTAAAGTTGTCATTTAATCTTAACACAGCTGTGTGCCTTTAAAAACAAACAACTATACATGTAGTTCTATGCAACTTTCATATTTAATCATTCAATTTATGCACAACTGTGTGCCTTTAACAACCAACAACTAACTATACAAGTAGATCTATTCAACTTTCATATTTTCAGAGCATTTTTTGGACCCACCATAGGAGGTGTAATGGTACAAAAGTTTGGGTTTCCATGGGCCTCTTGTGGTATCGCAGCAATGCTGTGTATAGGGGTAAATAGATTTGATTTGTTTATACAATTAGATATAAAGAAATTTTGGCATAGGTGTATTATGTTAGCTTTATTAACCTGATCAGCTAACCAAGGATTACTTATACTTGTTAAAGGAACTCCACAAACATAAAAAGCATACAAACTTTTTTATGTAGATAAAGTGAAGCACTTAGAATGGCAAAATCTACAAAAGATAATAAATATTTATATGTGGAATTAAATTGAAAATTGATAGTTCAATTCTTAGCCTTGTTTGAGTGAAAAGCAATGCATTTTTGGTGTTGTTTTTTTTCCGCAATTAAAATCATTATTCTGGAATAACAGAGTGAGAGAATGATCTGAAATTTTACACACAAGTTATTGGTTCTGACCTACATCAAATTGTACACAAATCTCGGGAAATAATTTCCAGCCCAATCATGTCAAATTACCTCAGTGGAGTCCCTTTAAGGAAACAACGATTTATACACTGCAATAATTGTCAGATACCCATGATTGTTTAATCAAGCTGTGGGTAAAATGAATCAATTTGCATCAATGTGTAAAAAATATCGACAAATGAAATCGCAGGTTGAGTGCAGGCATTAGTTTCCTCGCATTAACTGTCTAGCTAGCGGGATGCTCGTTGATTGGCTCATTTTTTTCTTGGGTTTACTTATTGTGACGACAGGGAAAGAGATAACGATTGAAAAGTCATATTCAGATGTGTTTGTTGGTTATTTTTTTCTCGGGTTTAATATTGCAACTACAGGGAACATGTTTATATTTTTGACTATGATACAAAAGAGAAAGAACATCAAAACACTTGGCAATCTGATTTGTCCGAGGAGGCGTCAAAACACTCCGCAATTTGATTTATACTCTGTAGCTACGCCCCTCGTACAAATCAAATAGCATTGTGTTTCTATGCTCTTATATTATTATATAAATAACACATGGGTTTGTGGGTAACAGTAAAAATATCATCCCTAGGAAAATACTGTTACCCGAGGCGTAGCCAAAAATACTGTGATGATCTGAAATTGTCAACTAAATCTAACTGTAACAAAAATAAACCTAGAGTAACAATAACTAAACTGTCCTTACCTTTTAAGTTTTAAGTGTACTTTAGGCCTACTTGAGAAGTTTCCTTTTTTTTAGCTCACCTGTCACAAAGTGACAGGGTGAGCTTTTGTGATCGCTTTTCGTCCGGCGTCCGTCCGTCCGGCGTCCGTAAACTTTTACTTTAAATGACATCTCCTCATAAACCACTAAGCCAATTTCATCCAAACTTCACAGGAATGTTCCTTTGGTGGTCACCTTTAAAAATTGTTCAAAGAATTTAATTCCATGCAGAACTCTGGTTGCCATGGCAACCGAAAGAAAACACTTTAAATATCTTCTTGTAAAAAACCATAAGAGCTAGAGCTTAGATATTTGGCATGAAACATCTTCTGGTGAGTGTCTACCAAGTTTGTTCAAATAAAAGCCCTGGGGTCAAAATTGGCCCCGCCCCAGGGGGGTCATTGATTTTCCCTATATGCATATAGTAAAAACTTAAAAAAATCTTCTTTTAAAGAACCCAAAGAGCTAGAGCTAAGATATTTAGCATGAAACATGTTCTAATGGGTGTCTACCAAGTTTGTTCAAATAAAAGCCCTGGGGTCAAAATTGGCCCCGCCCGGGGGGTCATTGATTTTCTTTATATGCATATAGTAAAAACTTAAAAAATCTTCTTTTAAAGAACCAAAGAGCTATGGCTAAGATATTGAGCATCAAACATGTTCTAATAGGTGTCTACCAAGTTTGTTCAATTAAAAGCCCTGGGGTCAAAATTGGCCCCGCCCCAGGGGGTCATTGATTTTCCCTATATGCATATAGTAAAAACTTAAAAAATCTTCTTTTAAAGAACCAAAAGAGTTAGAGCTAAGATATTTAGCATGAAACATGTTCTAATAAGTGTCTACCAAGTTTGTTCAAATAAAAGCCCTGGGGTCAAAATTGGCCCCGCCCCGGGGGTCATTGATTTTCCCTATATGCATATAGTAAAAACTTACAAAATCTTCTTTTAAAGAACTCAAAGAGCTATGGCTAAGATATTTAGCATCAAACATGTTCTAATGGGTGTCTACCAAGTTTGTTCAAATAAAAGCCCTGGGGTCAAAATTGGCCCCGCCCCGGGGGGTCATTGATTTTCCCTATATGCATATAGTAAAAACTTAAAAATTCTTCTTTTAAAGAACCCAAAGAGCTAGAGCTAAGATATTTAGCATGAAACATGTTCTAATGGGTGTCTACCAAGTTTGTTCAAATAAAAGCCCTGGGGTCAAAATTGGCCCCGCCCCGGGGGGTCATTGATTTTCTTTATATGCATATAGTAAAAACTTAAAAAATCTTCTTTTAAAGAACCAAAGAGCTATGGCTAAGATATTGAGCATCAAACATGTTCTAATAGGTGTCTAGCAAGTTTGTTCAATTAAAAGCCCTGGGGTCAAAATTGGCCCCGCCCCAGGGGGGTCATTGATTTTCCCTATATGCATATAGTAAAAACTTAAAAAATCTTCTTTTAAAGAACCAAAAGAGTTAGAGCTAAGATATTTAGCATGAAACATGTTCTAATAAGTGTCTACCAAGTTTGTTCAAATAAAAGCCCTGGGGTCAAAATTGGCCCCGCCCCGGGGGTCATTGATTTTCCCTATATGCATATAGTAAAAACTTAAAAAATCTTCTTTTAAAGAACTCAAAGAGCTATGGCTAAGATATTTAGCATCAAACATGTTCTAATGGGTGTCTACCAAGTTTGTTCAAATAAAAGCCCTGGGGTCAAAATTGGCACCGCCCCAGGGGTCATTGATTTTCCTTATATGTGTATAGCAAAAACTTAAAAAATCTTTTTTTAAAGAACTCAAAGAGCTATGGCTAAGATATTGAGCATCAAACATGTTCTAATAGGTGTCTACCAAGTTTGTTCAATTAAAAGCCCTGGGGTCAAAATTGGCCCCGCCCCGGGGGTCATTGATTTTCTTTATATGTGTATAGCAAAAACTTAAAATCTTCTTTGAAAAAACCCAAATAGCTAGAGTTTATTAAGCATGAAACATCTTCTAGTAAGTGTCTACAAAGTTTGTGCAAATAAAAGCCCTGGGGTCAAAACTGGCCTGGCCCAAGGGGACCCTGTCATTGTTTTTAACTATATGTGTATAGTAAAAACTTAAAAAAAATCTTCTTTTAAAAAGCCCAATGAGCTAGAGCTTAGATGTTTAGCATGAAACATCTTCTTATGGGTGTCTACCAAGTTTGTGCAAATAAAAGCCCTTGGGTTAAATTGGCCCTGCAACGTTGGGGGGGGGGGGGGGGGTGGGGGTTGTTGGGGGGCCCTATATACAGGTGAGCGATCTCAGGGCCATCATGGCCCTCTTGTTATTCTTTAAGCATGTGATGATATCTACAAATCATAAACATACAATAAGCTAGGTTTTCTTTAGAAAACAAAACACTAACCCATTTACATAGTTATGATCTGTGAAATCTGATCCATCTGTTTCCAGAATATTCTTCGCATGGTTTTTGACAAAGTGCATTTAGAAAATAACGATGATATCCTACAGATGCTAGAATGATGTCTTATCACCAACTCTATCTGTAACGTTTCACTGGTTAAAATTGTTAAATAATCCTTTGTTGCATGCTTTAATCGTCTGCATGTTCCAGTTTGACACATGATTATTCACATTACAATTACTTCCGTTGAAAACACTGATGTTTCCTTTTGACTATTCAACAAAAAGATATTTTATACGCGAAAGGAACTCTAGGGTGCAAAGAACTAAATTTTATGAGAGTAATAGTTACTTCGGCGATGCCCTATCGTCAGAAATATGAATGAATCGGGAAAAAATGGCGGCCATTTTATTTCATTTTATTTAGAAAATAGACCACGTGACCAGATTTTATACTGTTAAAAAATACTGTTACCTATGTAACAGTACAAAATTCTTAGTCACGTGGTACACTTGCATTAACAGTAAGAATAACTCCCAGAGGCCTATGGGAAATTGACATTACGAAAAAAGTGAGGGGTAATAATATAAAATGTGCTAGCTGATGTTTAATTTACATGTTTTATCTTAAATTTATCCTATTTACAGGGCGGGCTGATGCTAATATACCTGTGTGTTGTTCCAGTTTTACCAAGTCTGCCAGGGGAAACTCCATTTGATGCCAACATTAACATAGAAAAATCTAAAGACATTACTAAAATTTCATCTACGTCAGAAACTACAGAAACCACTTTATTGAATTCTAATGAAAATAAAACTGATTTAAATGTTTGAAACTAAACAATTCCTTTTTTGGTTTCCGTGCATTAAGCTGGTTGTGGAAGTTAATCTTTTTTCTCTGAACTTTTTTGGTTTTTTTTGTTTGTATATTAAATTGTAAGTCAGGTATAAAGCTCTTGTTTATTGTTTAAAGTCTTGCAGTTATTTGTAAGAATGATATTCCTAACTTGAAGATTTAGAAATGGTTTAATAACAATTCATGATTGATTACTCTACTTTTCTATGTTGTATAACTTGTATACATTAAGTTTTCTTTCTTTGTTTATATAAATCTTTGTTTGTAACTGTATATATGTACATTTTTTATAGAGGCTCATAGGGAAGACTGGGCTTGCCTAACTATGTTGCCTCTTTAAATAAAGTCTTTATTATTATTATTATTATTATTAAACTAGCGTGAAACCAAAAACTTATATACAAAGTGCAGTGAACTGTGATGAATTTTACGTCAATTGCAAGCATTTGTAAAAAAATGTGGAAACCGGCTTCGGGTTTGCATATACTGAGTATAAATAATGATGCTTTTTGACATCTGGAAGAAAAATATAGAATTATTCATGATAAATTGTTAAAAAAGCAAGCTCTATGCTGAATAGTCTGAGTACTTTGGTTGTTGGTGAAGAGATTTTTTTGTATTTCCCCCTAAACAATAGAGGCATATAGGATAAAAATATATGCCCAAGCACCTTGTTAAATTTTTGTGTTTCCGGTGATATACAATGGTAAAAGAAACTGGATTAGGTTTTGGTGATATATAACAGTTAAAGCAACTAGATTAAGTTTTGGGGTCATATAATGGTAAAATCAGTATATTAACTCTGTATGACTGGAATGAAAGGGCCATGGTCCTCAGTTCAACAAACGAAAAATAAGAAAATAAAAGGTCCCCTAAGCATATTTTGTGTAGAATGTTAATCTGAGGGTTTTTCTGCAAGGGCTTTTTTTCTCTGTTACCCAATTTCAATACTTTAGGTTATATGCTGAAAGGGGTATGTTTGTGTATCAAACAATTCCTTTTTTGGTTTCCGTGCATTAAGCTGGTTGTGGAAGTTAATCTTTTTTCTCTGAACTTTTTTGGTTTTTTTTGTTTGTATATTAAATTGTAAGTCAGGTATAAAGCTCTTGTTTATTGTTTAAAGTCTTGCAGTTATTTGTAAGATGTCTATTGCATTGATTTTTGGTTGTTTTTTTTTTTTACAAAGTTATTTTTACCATGAATTTAGTCATACATACACCATATGAATGGCAATAAAAGTGTGTTCATGTTATTTTGAACAAATTTTGATTATTTGAATATAAATTTTTTATATTATTAAATCAGCATGCCTAAAGATTCATGCTAATTTTCATAAAAATTTAAAAAATGTATTAAAAAGTAAAATATTGTCAAATGAAAAAAAAAAACTTGAAAAAAAAAGTTATTGACACATTGCAAACGGCACTTAAAATCAACAGAAATTGCCAAAAAGTAGGTCAGAATATGCAAAAATAGCTCTTGATGTGTTAGTCACACAGTAGAAATATGGTGATAGATACTGCAAAATCAGTCATTAATTGCACACAATATGTAAATTATTAGTTGAATATCTTGAATCTTTTCACTTTCCTTAAAATCCTAGTACATTTTTCTCAAATTTGATTTTCTTGAACTATTTTTGCTTTAGGCATGCTGCTTTAATTCTTTTTGAAGCCAGTAGGCAAGATTAGATTGTTTAAAGGCACATTATGCCTCAGAAAAGAATTAATTATGACTTCTTTAGAAAGAGCAAACATGGATTTTATAACAGATAAATAATGGTTTTAGAGCTTGTTAGATACTTGTAACCTAAAGAAAAAGTGATAAATGTGAGATCATTTGTCATGAAATTAGCAAAATGTAAACAAAGTAGTATTTTGACTTCCATACAAAATACTATAATCATTTCCAAAAAAAAAAAAAAAAAAAAAAAAAAAAACAGAAGCAGGTTATCTGGTTAAATGAGTAACTTTCTTCAAACTACCGTAAGTACACTGAAAATAGAAAACTTCTGAGAAATGGAAATAAAACATTTTTATGAGGCATAATGGGCCATTAAAGGGAGGTTTATGTATTACATGTATGTCAACATGATTGATTGAAGTGTTCTAGTGATACTATTAGGGACTATTTATGATAATCTGATTAAAATTTCTTTTAGTTTTGTTGAATTGTTGTTAAAATCTATTTGTTTTTGTTGAACTGATATTAGATTCTTTTTAGGGCACTTTTAAAGCTGGAAAGTCACCATATGATCTTTACAGTGTTGATGAGAGGTAAAATGTTATACCAAACAAAAAATGAAACAAATAAATAAGTCTGCTTATTTTGTGAAGTGCTGTTAGATTCTGACAGTTTTATTAAGTTTTTCAGATTCTGTCAGTTTCATTAAGTGCTGTTATATTTTGACAGTTTGAAAAGTGCTGTTAGATTCTAACAGCCTTGTAAAAAGGTGTGAAATTCTGCTTGTTTTGTAAAGTGCTTTTAGATTCTTACAGTTTTGTTAAGTGCTATTAGATTCTGACAGTTTTATTAAATGCTGTTAGATTCTTACAGTTTTGAAAAGTGATGTTAGATTCTGACAGTTTTGAAAAGTGCTGTTAGATTTTGACAGTTTTGAAAAGGGCTGTTAGTTTTTGACAGTTTTGTAAAGTGCAGTTATATTTTGACAGTTTTGAAAAGGGCTGTTAGATTTTGACAGTTTTGAAAAGTGCTGTTAGCTTTTGACAGTTTTGGAAAAGGGCTGTTAGATTTTGACAGTTTTGTAAAGTGCTGTTATATTTTGACAGTTTGAAAAGTGCTGTTAGATTCTAACAGCCTTGTAAAAAGGTGTGAAATTCTGCTTGTTTTGTAAAGTGCTTTCAGATTCTTACAGTTTTGTTAAGTGCTGTTAGATTCTGACAGTTTTATTAAATGCTGTTAGATTCTTACAGTTTTGAAAAGTGATGTTAGATTCTGACAGTTTTGAAAAGTGCTGTTAGATTTTGACAGTTTTGAAAAGGGCTGTTAGTTTTTGACAGTTTTGTAAAGTGCAGTTATATTTTGACAGTTTTGAAAAGGGCTGTTAGATTTTGACAGTTTTGAAAAGGGCTGTTAGATTTTGACAGTTTTGAAAAGGGCTGTTAGATTTTGACAGTTTTGAAAAGTGCTGTTAGATTTTGACAGTTTTGAAAAAAGGGCTGTTAGATTTTAACAGTTTTGTAAAGTGCTGTTATATTTTGACAGTTTGAAAAGTGCTGTTAGATTCTAACAGCCTTGTAAAAAGGTGTGAAATTCTGCTTGTTTTGTAAAGTGCTTTCAGATTCTTACAGTTTTGTTAAGTGCTGTTAGATTCTGACAGTTTTATTAAATGCTGTTAGATTCTTACAGTTTTGAAAAGTGCTGTTAGATTCTGACAGTTTTGGAAAGTGCTGTTAGATTCTGGCAGTTTTGAAAAGGGCTGTTAGATTCCCTTGACAGTTTTCTTAAATTCTGACAGTTTTGTTAAGTGCTGTAAGAATTTTCGACACTTTAATTAAGTGCTGTTAGATTCTGACAGTTTTCTTAAGTGCTATGAGATTCTGTCAGTTTTAAGTTTATATTCAGCTCTTTTATGGGGCCATGATTAATTATGCTTCAATAAAATCATAATATTTTTATGTGCCAAGAATTTTAATGTAAAATATTTGTTGTAAAGTGATGCTTTCCTTTTTGTGCATTCTAGTGGAGTTTTTGGTGGGGTCATGTATCACTGTGGGGATAATTGTTTCACAATTTTAATGAGATGAATTCCCCATTTGCTCACATCACAATTTTATACCGGTAATTATGTTGTTTTGCTTCGTTCTATTTATTCATTAATTTTATACATGTATGAAATATTATATTGGGTAATATTTTATACCCAATATGAGTGTTATAATTACTTATGTGCACTGTATAATTATTATTCAAGTATATTAATGCTAAGCAGTAATGTCAAATATCATTTAATTCAATTTGACTGTGTAGATGTTGTATTATTGTTTGGAACAAAAATGCATATTTTCAGATTTTATTTTTACAACTTAAACTCCCAATATAAGAAAAATATTTTCTGGCTAAATTCAAATGTTATGTGAATCCTGTGTTGTATATATAGTGAGATTACAAATATTTATGTATTAGTGATGGAAATTCAGGTAATTTCATTTAAAGCAGGTTTTCTCGTCAAAAAATCAAGAAAGTTAGTAAATTAAATCCATATAGAAATAAAAGGGTTTAAAGAAGTTCTTCATTTCCTTAAGTAGTGTTTTGATCGCTTTTATCACCCCCGAGACCTTTAGGACGTATTATGCTATGGTAGTGTCTGTCTGTCTATAAATGGTTTCTACACGATTACTGGGGGATTTCAATGATTTCATTACTTTTTGGCATGTTATGTAAGTATATGTATGATACATAAAGAGTCAGGTAAAATTTGATTTTCACTGCAATCAACTTTTTATTTATAGATTTATGCCCCTTTTACATGTTTTAAGCAATATTTTTGTTTGAAATTACTGGTTTCCGCAGAATTACTATTTCAGGATTTCAGTTTATATTCGACACATAAGTATGTTGTATCAGAACACATGTTTAGTATGATTTTGTGTGCAAAACAAAAATTATAATTGATAGAGTTATGTCCCTTTTTGAACAAATTTTCTGTGAAATTATAGTTATGTCCCATTTTGAACAAATTTTCTGTGAAATTATAGTTATGTCCCTTTTTGAACAAATTTCCTGTGAAATTATAGAGTTATGTCCCACTTTGAACAAATTTTCTGTGAAAATTATAGAGTTATGTCCCTTTTTGAACAAATTTCCTATGAAATTATAGAGTTATGTCCCACTTTGAACAAATTGTCTGTGAAATTATAGTTATGCCCCACTTTGAACAAATTTTCTGTGAAATTATAGTTATGTCCCTTTTTGAACAAATTTCCTGTGAAATTATAGAGTTATGTCCCACTTTGAACAAATTTTCTGTGAAAATTATAGAGTTATGTCCCTTTTTGAACAAATTTCCTGTGAAATTATAGAGTTATGTCCCACTTTGAACAAATTTTCTGTCAAATTATAGGGTTATGTCCCTTTTTGAACAAATTTTCTGTGAAATTTTCGGGTTATGTCCCTTTTTTAACAAATTTTCTGTGAAATTATCGGGTTATGTCCCTTAATGAGCAAATATTCTGTTTCAGCTGGTATCAGCAGGCTAATTTTTGAAGGTTTTCAATTATTCTTGCAAGTTCTAATGTTATATCAACATACAAGTTAAATTTGATATAATGTTTATGACAATCAACTTGATATTTAATAGAGTTATTCCCCTTTTTATAGCAAATTTTTGGTAAAATTATTGGTTACCGCAGAATAACTAGGTATCTCAGGCAACTCTTGTATTCAGATATTTAAGAAATAAAACTATTTTTTTAGTAGAAATTGTGAAAGCAGTATGGAATTTTATTGAAATTTCTAATTATTATTAAACCTGTAAGAAAGACAGAAATACTCTTGTCATTTTTACACGCTTTACTTTTGGTGTTATTGGGTATACAGCATTTTATATACATGTTTTGTTGTTTTTTTTTCAGTTTTCTATCTTCATACATGTGATATTAATCAGAACAAATTGTTATATTCTTTGAAAATTTTCTGTTTATATATTTGGGTTGATTTACTTTATCTTTTACTCTAAATATACATGTAGTTTACGCAGTTGTTGCTATTTATAGAAAAATTCAACTAGATTTATTATTTGATTTGTTGAAAAATTTTAGTCTATCTAGAACACAATTTGTTTTTCCTCAGATTTTCTGACAATCTGTAACACAGGGTTATTGTTAATATTTTATTGTTCATTGACATTAACATTTTTTTATCAAATCATCTACAGTGAATCTTGTTTTAAAGATCCACCTCTTAATAAAGAGACTACTTGCAAACAGAAGGGTTGTTTTTGTTTTTAAAGGTCACATTAATCCTCCTATTGTGAGATACCTCATTTCTCAAGATCAGCTTTTGTTTCTATTTTCCAGAACCAGCAACTACTGGTATTTCCATTTCCCAGGAATAGCTTCTTTTTCATGTTCCAATGTCCCTACACCAGCTTCTGTTTAATGCCCTTAGACCAACTTCTGTTTTTATGTCCCTAGATTCATGCCCTTAGACCAACTTCTGTTTTCATGTCTCAAGACCAGCTTCTGTTTCATGCCCCTAGACAAACTTCTGTTTCAAGCCCCTATACTAGCTTCTGTTTCATGCCCCTATACTAGCTTCTGTTTCATGCCCCTATACAAGCTTCTATTTCATGCCCCTAGACCAGCTTCTGTTTCATGTCCCTAGACCAGCTTCTATTTCATGCCCCTATACTAGCTTCTGTTTCATGCCCCTAGACCAGCTTCTGTTTCATGCCCCTAGACCAGCTTCTGTTTTTATGTCCCTAGACCAGCTTCTATTTCATGCCCCTAGACCAGCTTCTGTTTTCATGTCCCTAGACCAGCTTCTTTTCTATGCCCCCTAGACCAGCTTCTGTTTTTTATGTCCCTAGACCAGCTTCTGTTTCATGCCCCTAGACCAGCTTCTGTTTTCATGTCCCTAGACCAGCTTCTGTTTTATGCCCCTAGACCAGCTTCTGTTTTTATGTCCCTAGACCAGCTTCTGTTTCATGCCCCTAGACCAGCTTCTGTTTTCATGTCCCTAGACCAGCTTCTGTTTTATGCCCCTAGACCAGCTTCTGTTTTAATGTCCCTAGACCAGCTTCTGTTTTTATGTCCCCTAGACCAGCTTCTTATTAGCTTAATTCTAGTTCATGTCCCTAGACCAGCTTCTGTTTCATGCCCCTAGACCAGCTTCTGTTTCATGCCCCTAGACCAGCTTCTGTTTCCATGTCCCTAGACCAGCTTCTGTTTCATGCCCCTAGACCAGCTTCTGTTTCATGTCCC